CCTGCTTCAGCCTTCCAAGTAGTTGAACTCCAGACATGCACCATCGTACCCAGCTTATTGTGTCACTTTAAAAAAATGTTTTAAAATATGATTTTTGTTTATTTAATTCTTGGGATATGAAACCTGGCTTCCTTAGTCCTGGGTAGCCATTTCTACCCTTGATTTGTGACTTATATGAATGTAGCATATATAATTAAGTCTAGCTTTTTCTGACCTTTGGTTAAGTTTTTAAAATTTCTAATTTATTCTTGCAGCTTCCCAGAAAAGATTTGTCGTAGCAACTATGAAAACACATTACATTTCTACATAGGATAAACTAAAGAAAAAAATGTGGAGAAAGGTGAAGATAATTAATTATGCCAGATAGATTGGGATTGAGGGGAAGGGTTAAAAAAAAAACAAACTACTCTTTGCCATTCCAGAAAGTCCCCCTATTTTTTTTGTTTTCTTGCATCCAGGCTGTGTACATACATATTGGGTTCCTTCCTGTCTTTTTTTAGTTTATCAATGATCAGTTGGGACGTCAGTGCTCCAAATGCTAAAGTTATGAGTTACTTCAGGGTAATTGGAATGTAGTGTTTAGGGGTATGTTGTGTTCTCTAACTAATTTACCCTAATAGTTTTATTCAAAATAGACTAGAAAGTCCAATTTTTATTAAATGATAATGAGCAGTCACTAGATAGAGTACAGTATTAAGCTTTGTTCTGACAAAGTACAGAAACAGCTAAGGTAAGATTCTAGCCTGCTAGGCGATTGCTTTAACTCTTCTAAATCAGCCTTGTGCCATCTTAAGAGTGAGCATTTTCCTTTGGGTTTCATAAAAACTAATCCTACTTTGATTTTTGTCACCCTTGCCTCCAGTGCCCATGACCTGATTCTGTTAATGAAGCAACACTGGTAAATATTAATGTTATAATTTTAATTTAAATCACAATTCAGGCTCACAGGTTCATGTTAGTAAACTTCTTTCTATGTGTATATGCCCAGAAGCTGAAACTAATAAGAAATGTAAATACCTTGGAGAAGTTGGAGGGTGTACATTTGAAATGTGCTTAATAGATTCTAATTGAGGGATCTATAGGGTTGTGTACCACAGAGTTGATTTTAAACAAAATGTTGATGAAATTGGTCATCACCAGAATGACTGAATTGTGTGTTATTAGACCTCTTTGCAGGGGTGGGTACACTCCTACTGTTCATGTTTCAATTCCACTGTGAATAGAAAAGGAAAGAACAATATGGAAAATTTATAAGTCTGTAGTACCATCTGCTTCTGAAGCCGTAACTGAGCCTGCTGGTTAATGAAATTATTACTCAAGAGAAAGTAGTAAAGATGTTGAACTTGCCCCTAAGACAAGCTATTTCTCCAAAGGGATATCTTTATATAGATGAAAGAATTTTATAGTTTGGAACTTCTGTATTCTGATGTCAATCTAAGTTTAAGAATATCGTTCCTTCAATGTTTTATCCCCATACAATTTCAATAGTGTTTTCTTAGTTCTACCTAGTGACAGACTAGATTTTAACCTTTAAAGCAAATTGAGATCCAGTTTTCTGGGGAAAGATTTCCAAGTTTTTATAGCTTTCTTTTTCTATAGAGATATGACATAAACAAACTAGTCATTATTTCCAATGATTAATCTTCCTTAAAAATGAACTTTATTTTTTAGATAGTTTTAGATTTACAAAACAATTATAAAGCTAGTACAGGGGGTTCCCATAAACCCCACATCCAATTTCCTCTTTTTTTCTTTTTCTTTTCTTTTTTTTCTTTTTTTTTGAGAAAGGGCCTTGCTTTGTTGCCTGAGCTGTGGTGTTATTATGGCTCACTACAACCTCAAGCTTCTAGGTTCAAGAGATCTTCCTTCCTTAAGCTTCCTAAGTAGCTGGGACTATAGGTACACACCACCAAGCCTGGCTAATTTTTTTTTTTTGCAGTTTTTGGCTGGGGCTGGGTTTGAACTCGCCACCTCTGGCATATGGGACTGGCTCCCTACCCTTTTGAGCCACAGGCTCTGGCCTGCCTGGCTAATTTTTAAAAAAGCTTTTTGTAGGGATGGGGGTTTTGGTATTACCCAGGCTGGTCTTAAATTCCTGGCCTCAAGTGATCCTCCTGCCTTGGCCCCCCAAAGTGCTAGGATTATAGGCTTGAGCTACCCTGATCTATTTTCCATCATTAGTTTTACCCTTTGTAGAATCATTCTAGTAAAACATTATACATGAGACATTAACTAGTTTATTGTATCTGATTTTTTTCACTTAACATAATGCTTTTGTGACATGTACAGGCATAGAAACTGTTCATCCCTCTTTATTGCTAAGTAGCCCATTGTAAATACTACATTTTGTGTCCATTAGCCAATCCATTGACGTGTGTTGTTTCCACATTTTGTCTATTATAAATAAAGCTGCTATGAACATTTGTGTACAGGTCTTTGTGGGAACCTTGGATCTCACTTACCTTAGATAAATAATTAGAAATTATATGCCATGGCTCAGCACCTGTAGCTCAGAGGCTAGGGCACCAGCCACATACACCAGAGCTGGCGGGTTCAAATCCAGCACAGGCCTGCTAAACAACGACAACTACAACCAAAAAATGGCTAGGCATTGTGGCGGGCACCTATAGTTCCAGCTACTCCGGAGGCTGAAACAAGAGAATCACTTAAGCCCAAGAGTTTGAGGTTACTGTGAGCTGTGACACCACGACACTCAACCCAGGGCGACAGCTTGAGACTCTGTCTCAAAAAATAAAATAAAATAAAAAAGAAAGAAATTATATGCCAGGTTGTATAGTAAGTACATGTTTAGTGTTATAAAAAAAAAGGCAAGCTGTTTTCCACAGGACCTATTTTCCACATACCATTTTGCCTTCCCACTGGCGTCGTATGTGTATGAGGATTCCAGTTGTTCCACATGTTTATCAACAGTTGGTATTATCATTCTTTTTGATTTTAGCCATTCTACTGGGCATGTAATTTTATCCCATTATGATTTTAATTTGCATTTCCCTAATGACAAATGATGTTGAGGAACTTCTGGTGTATTTATTTCCCATTTCCATTTTTTTGTTTTTGTTTTCATTTTTTGGTGAAGTGTCCAGATTTCTGCCCACTTTTTGTTGGCCATTCATCTTATTATGGATTTATAAAAGTTGCTTATATAAAGATTTATTTTAAAATGTCTTGACCAAAACAGAATGTATTTTAGCATTTATCCTCAGTGTATAAATGAATGTAATTTTGAAAGGTTCTTAAGTACTAGCTGAGTACTTCACTGGAATATGTGTTGTTTTGCATGTGTAAGTAACTAAAGAATAGAACTAGTAGAAATATAAAGTATATTTTGTGTGCCACTCCTTTGTCTCAGATACATGAACCCATTTCTTCAAACCTGTTCTAGTGAATGCTGAGTTTTCTTTTTTTTTTTTTTTTAAAGTTTGATAATAATAGTTGTTGTTTAGGGTCCAGCTGCTGTGAGAACCCATCTCTGGCAATGTTTCAGGTGTTTATTTTAATCTTGTCTGTCTGTTCTACACAGTGTATCTCATCTTCCTCATACATTCTGTGGGAACTGACCGCTTGCCAAATAAACTTTTAGCGACATTGAAGACCCATTAAAAAAAACAAATATTGGCTCATAGACACATGAGATTCAAATATCACTTTATTTGTAAAAGGAGTAAGTGTGGCTTAGTTTACATTATGATTGGTTAAAACTCAGTGACATTTTTGTGTACATGTGTATGTTCCTCTGGCCAAATAAAACACGAGTAAAATTAGAAACGGTGCCATTGTTGGATTACTGCAATGTATTTTCTGCCATCTCTCTTGACAGACTATAGCAGATCACATTTCAGTTATAACTCCTTTCTTTAACAAAAATATTAGTATTTTTATATGGCCATTTCCTTTAAGAAATCTATATACCCCAGCAGCTGTGGATTATGTTCTATTCCATTCTTTTTTTTTTTTTTTTAAGAGATGGAGTCTCACTTTATTGCCCTTGGTAGAGTGCTGTAGCATCACAGCTCACAGCAACCTCCGGCTCCTGGGCTTAGGCTATTCTCCTACCTTCAGCCTCCCGAGTAGCTGGGACTATAGGGGCCTGCCACAATACCTGGCTATTTTTTTGTTGCAGTTTGACCAGGTCTGGATTCAAACCCGCCACCCTTGGTATATGGGGCCGGCGCCCTACTCATTGAGCCATGGGCACTGTCTATTGATTTCCATTCTTAAGTGGATGGAGCAACCTGCTCCAAGCTTAACTATTTTAAAAAGAAAAATGAGTTCTGGGGTGGTGCCTATGGCTCAGTGAGTAGGGCGCTGGCCCCATAGACAGGGTGGCGGGTTCAAACCTAGCCCCAGCCAAACTGCAACAACAACAAAAAAAATAGCTGGGCATTGTGGCGGTTGCCTATAGTTCCAGCTACTCAGGAGGCTGAGACAAGAGAATCACCTAAGCCCAAGAGCTGGAGGTGCTGTGAGCTGTGACTCCACAGCACCCTACCGAGGGTGACAAAACGAGACTCTGTCTCAAAAAAAAAAAAAAAAAAAGAAGAATGAGTTCGGAAAAGGAATGAAATTCAAAACCATTTTGTTAGGAGGTTGTGATAGTCTCATTGAGTTGTAATCTATAACATTTGGGTCATTTCGGTGTCAACAAAGATAGCCTACATTTTGTGAGGGAAGCAATTTTGTCCTTTATTTGAACCGTTTTTTTTATTCTGGAGCAGGATTATTATTAAGCTTATTCATGGCAAAAATTGTATGTGCAACCATGTAATGTTATGTGTGAGTGTTGAGTATATTATTAAATATATAATTTTCTCATTCAAAAGGAGTGCTTTTGATCCCATCCCATATAGAAGGGAGAAGTATGCAGTTCTCTAAGAAACATAAGTAGTTAATACAGAGTAAAAGCATCATCCTGTAGATTTTATTTAATTTTTACATTTATCTAGTATTCTCTCTAGAAATTGGTTTACAAATTTGAACCAAAGAGCATCACTAATTTGGTAATTGTGAGAATATATTTGTGCACATGACTAGGCAGATAAAACTTAATAAAATAAAGGCTTCTTTCCAAATGAGCCCTGACTTACATGCAAAAACAGTGGTAGCAGAGACTTTGAAGTTTTCCTGGTTCTGGGGTAGAGTCCTACTGAGGGTAGCAGGGTCTAAATCTGCTGTGCTGACTTAATAAAACCACTGTTTATTCTCTTTTGAAAAGCTACACACTTGTTTTGCCTTTGTTTCTTGCCGTTTGTCTGAAGAAGAGACTCATCTTAAAACCCAACACTTGCATTCTATGAGGTGGGTAACAGTGTATATAATACTACTACTTTGGCCAGCATGGTAGTTCATGTTTGTAATCCTAGCACTTGGGGAGGCCAAGACAGGTGGATGGCCTGAGCTCAGGAGTTCGAGGCCAGCCTGAGCTAGAGTGAGACCCCATCTCTACTTAAAATAGAAAAACTATCCAGGCAGCTATCTGTAGTCCCAGCTACCTGGAAGACTGAGGTGAGAGGATCTCTTGAGTCCAAGAGTTGGAGGTTGGTGTGAGATATGATGATGCTACTGCATTCTACCCAGGGTGACAGAGTGAGACCCTGTCTCAAAAAGCCAAAAAAACCCAACAAACAAAATACTACTTTAAAAGTTTGAACCTTAATTCAAATACCAAAAGGGCAAAAAAGATTTGTGGCGACATCTATTTCCATTTTGTCTTGCTGCTGTCTTAGAGATGAAATTATGCTATTGTTGCTATTGTCATAAAATACTTTTATTGCTAGGTATATAGTAGGCAATTTGGGAGGTGTGGTTTTATAATGTGGTTAAGTCTTTCCATGAAGCTCTTACTTTTGGATATGAACTTGGTTCTTACTGACCTTTCTCTTACTCAAAGTATTGAGTAGGTGTCCATATTTCCAAGTAATTCAAGTTCTTAATATCTATATAAGAACTTCTTGAGTGCTAAATTTAAAATGAGATACCACAGAGAACAGAGGCTAAAGTTTGTTTTTTTTAAATTTTATTTATTTTTATTAATTTTTTTTTTGAGAGAGAGTCTCACTATGTTGCCGTGGGTAGAGTGCCATGGCATCACAGCTCACAGCAACCTCAAACTCTTGGACTTAAACAATTCTCTTGCCTCAGCCTCCCAAGTAGCTGGGACTATAGGCACCTGCCATAACACTTGGCTATTTTTTGGTAGTAGTTGTCATTGTTTGGCAGGCCCGGGCTGGATTCGAACCCGCCAGCTCTGGTGTATGTGGCTGGCACCCTAGCCACTGAGCTATAGGCACAGAACCTAATTTTATTTTTTAAAGATGGGGTTTTGCTCTGTCACCCAGGCTGGAGTGTGGTAGCACAATCATAGCTTACTGCAGCCTCCAACTCCTGGGCTCAAGTGATCCTCCACCTCAGCCTCCCAAATAGCTGGGGCTACAGATGCCCACCATCACACCTGGCTGATTTAGCTTTTTGAGAATTGGACTAGAAATTGTTGGTGTGAAATCTTGTTTTAATTGAAACTTTTTATTGAACTCATGCATTTGGGTTCTTTAAATTTATGGGTTTTTTTTTTAACCTTTTCTTTTTTTATTATTTATTTATTTATTTATTTATTTTTATTGGGGATTCATTGAGGGTACAAGAAACCAGGTTATACTGATTGCATTTGTTAAAGACCCTCTTAGAATCGTGTCTTGTCCCCAAAAGATGTGGCACACACCAAGACCCCACCCCCTCCTTCCCTCTCTCTGCTCTTCCTTTTCCCACCCCTCCCTCCTTCTTTCTTGTTTTATGAGTAAATTTCATGGAAATGAAAGCTTACTTGACTATATTTTTGTGGGATTTGAGGATTGCTTCATTTCCAGGGAATAAAATTTTTCATCTTTTTCTCTCTTAGATTACAACAAGATGGATATACCAAATCCCCCAACTTCCAAATGTATCACTTACTGGAAAAGAAAAGTGAAATCTGAATATATGAGACTTCGACAACTTAAACGGCTTCAGGCAAATATGGGTGCAAAGGTAAAAAATAATTTCCCAAGTAAATGGTTATGTATTTCAATATATTGATCCAGTGTGGAGGGGTTGGAATTTTTTAACTCTTATTTTGAAATCTTGACCATTTTTCCCCATGGCTTGGATAGGCTCTGTATGTGGCAAATTTTGCAAAGGTTCAAGAAAAAACCCAGATCCTCAATGAAGAATGGAAGAAGCTTCGTGTCCAACCTGTACAATCGATGAAGCCTGTGAATGGGCATCCTTTTCACAAAAAGGTACTTCTGGATGTCTAAACTTAGCCTCCCTCTTTTTCTTGGGCTTTTTTTTCCCCTGTATTTTTGACTTGCTAGGAAATAAGTAAGATAATGGATATGGCTATTATAGTCAACTTCAAATAATTAAGACAGTAAATCTGTAGCTTTAAAGAACAACCTTTTCACCTACTCGCCTCAGTTAATGAGTACAATGTTAAGTTTTTCGTAGAAAAGCAAGACATAAACTTTTTACTTCTCTAGGCTCTGTGTTTAAGCTTTAAAGCAGCCTTTTTTGTGTGCCTTGTTTAGTTCCTCATGTACTTTTTGTTTTGTTTGAGATAAGGTCTTGCTGTGTTACCCAGGCTAGAGTGCAGTGGCCCAATCATAGCTCACTGCAGCCTCCAACTCCTGGGCTCAAGTGATTCTCCTGCCTTAGCCTCCCAAGTGGCTAGGACTATAGGCACACACTATCATGCCTGACTAGTTTCCTCAAGTACTTTGATATTGGGAAAGGAGTACCTTTTCCCAGTGGACAGGAGTATATATATATATATATTTCTTCCTTTTTGAGACAGAGCCTCAAGCTGTCCCCCTGGGCAGAGTGCCGTGGCATTACAGCTCACAGCAACCCTCCTGGGCTCAAGTGAGTCTCCTGCCTCCGCCTCCCAAGTAGCTGGGACCACAGGCGCCCGCCACAATGCCCGGCTATCTTTTGGTTGCAGCCGTCATTGTTGTTTGGCGGGTCCGGGCTGGGGATTCGAACCCACCACCTTAGGTGTACGTGGCTGGCACCTTAGCAGGTTGAGCTATAGGCGCCGAGCCGACAGGAGTATATTGATCAAAGGGACATCCCTTATTGTAAATTTTTTTTTTTCTGAGACAGACTCTATCTCCCTGGGTAGAGTGCTGTGGCCTCAGAACTCACAGAAACCTCAAACTCTTGAGCTCAAGCAATCGTCTTATCTCAACCGCCCAAGTAGCTGGGACTACAGATGTCTGTCACAATGCCTGGCTAGTTATTCTGTTTTTAATAAAGACAGGATCTTGCTCTTGCTTAGTCTGGTCTTGAACCCCTGAGTTTGAGCAATCTACCTGCCTTCGCCTGCCATAGTGCTAGGATTACAGGCATGAGCCACTGTGCCTGGCCCCTTATTATTGGAAATTTTAAACACACTTTCTAGGCTGATTCAAAGGTATTCACTTATCTTAGTTGAGTATTCACAGTCAGTTATAGATTGAACTTGTCATTCTACTCTTTCCCCACTCTCATTATTGCACTTGACTACTCTTAAAAGAATAAAATTAAAATAAGTAAGAGCATTCTAGTTTATTAAAGAGATGACATTTTTAGGGGCTGGGTGTGGTGGCTCACACTCTGGGAGGCCGAGGTATATGGATTGCATGAGCTCATGGGTTTGAGACCAACCTGAGCAAGAGTAAGACTCTGTCTCTTACTCTTAGCTGGGCATTGTGGCAGGTGCCTATAGTCCCAGCTATTTGGAGGTTGAGCTCAAGAGTTTGAGGTTGCTGTGAGCTATGAGGCCACAGCACTCTACCAAGGGCAACAAAGTGAAACTCTGTCTCAAAAAAAAGAAAAAAGAGAGATAACATTTTTAAAACATAAAAAGCATGTAGTATATTGAGAGCAATTGTCTTTCCCAAAGCAGGTTATAACTTCTATACCACTTTGCTTCCCATCCCCACTGTTTCCATTACCTAGACAGCTAAATTGATGTCCCTGTCTTAAAGTTTAGGTCTTTAGGAAAACTTCCTCATCTTCATCCTCATCTCTTAGGACTTTCAGAGGCCCTTTACTGCATGTATACACTTCCAAGAGAACCAGTAGTTTTAATTGAAATAAAAATCAGTTGAGTATGGGAAGCACTGTATTAGACCCTGTAGAGGACACAAAAGTGAATAAGAAACAGTTCCTTCCAGGCATGGTGGCTTATACCTGTAGTCCCAGCTACATAGGAGGCCAAGGTAGGAGGATCACTAGAGGCCAGAAGTTCGAGCCTAGGCTGGCTAACATAGCAAGATCTCATGTCTTAAGGAAAAAAAATGTCTTGATGATAGATCAAGTCAGTATTTTTTAGACTTTTACTTTTAAAAATATGGCTGGGTGTAGTGGCTTACACCTGTAATCTCAGCACTTTAGAAGGCTGAAGTGGGAGAACTGCTTGAGGCCAGGAGTTCAAGACCATGCTGGGCAACATAGCAAGACACCATCTTAAAAAACAAAGAGATAGATAATTCCTGCTTTCTACATGTTACAGTCCAGGGGTTCTTTTCTCGGAGCTGATGTAAAAGAAAAAAAACCTCAACTATTAGTTGGTAAGAATCAGAAGCCTACTGGGATCATTTTGGAAGGAAACTGCAACTCTCTCTTGGGTGTGTACCTTCCTTTCCCTCTCCATGTCATCATTTATATTTCAGTGTACGATAGAGAGCATTTTTCCGGGATTTGCAAGCCAACATATGTTAATGAGGTCTCTGAACACAGTTGCATTGGTTCCTATCATGTATTCCTGGTCCCCTCTCCAACAGAACTTCATGGTACGTATTGAAAACACCATAGTAGTATGATTATCTTATATTGATATGCCAGAGCTCCTTTCAGGGTAAAGATTGGCAGAGTATATAACAAAGATTCGCCATACAGGGCAGAATGGCATTGTAATTTACTTACTCTAATATATATATATATATAATACACATATGATACATATAGTAAGTTCAAACTTGTTTGATTTTGTGTTCTCTGAAGTATACTTTTGAATTGAGGCTGGTTCTGCTTTGGTTTTTTTTTTTTTTTTTGAGACAGAGTCTCATTATGTTACCTTCAGTAGGGTGCTGTGGCACCACAGCCCAGCAACCTCAAAATCTTGGGGTTAAGCAATTCTATTGCCTCAGCCTCCCAAGTAGCTGGGACTACAGGCACCCACCACAATACCCAGCTGTTTTTTTGTTCTTGTTGCAGTTGTTTAGCTGGCCTAGGCTAGGTTCGAACCTGCCACCCTTGGTGTATGTGGCTGGTGCTGTAACCACTGTGATACAGGCACCAAGCCAATTGGTTCTTCTTTGAATGAATGAGATGGGACAAAACTCTAGTTTTCTCTTACCATGACCCAATTCAGTAACATTATATGCAGTTAAATGCAGTCTAACTCTGACACTTGAGGCCTAAGCAGGTTCTTAGCTCCCTGTGGATGGAGCAACCTTTTCTGAATCGTCTATAAAGGCAAGATTCTATGAAAACAACTGTAATAACAGATGTGTACATGGATACAGATCCTTTTGTCTAGGCCTTTGTGCTGACTCCTACTAGAATCATTGGTGGTTCTGATAATCATACTCTCTGAACACTGGCATTGCTTCTCATCTGCCTGGTGACATATAGCAAAACTGGTGATTGGAATAGGGTGTAAGTTTACAAAAGGAAATTGTCTCTTAGAATAAAGCTTCAGAGTAATTTTACTTGATACCTGGGGAATTTTAGGAAGACTATATTTTCTGATGAGCACTCCCCACCACCAAAAAAATAATCTTTTAGTATTATTTACTGCCATAAAATATCCATAGCCTGTACTGTGAGTGACTTTAGGTAGCCACTAAGTGTGATTGGCATGAGTTACAGTCATAATTTTTTTATTAATTCGAGTCTTAGTCCATTTTATAGACAACCTATGGTTGGCCAGTTTATTTTCTAGTTATACTGCAGATCATAATCTTGGAGGCCTTCGTTTTCATTGATCTGTCTCTCCACTTACAAAGACAATTAGAATTGAAAATTTTTTATGCTGTTGTTTGGGTGATGCTTGTACCTATTTCACAAAGATGGTTAGTGGATAAAATGAGATAATAGATGCATTGTGAAAAATAAATGTACCGTCAAATTCTAGGTGTTGGTAGAAATATCATTGTTAGTATCAAGCTAAAATTTAGGAGGTAATATCATCAAATATAATTTCTTTTTCTCTAGAGTAGTATTGTGCCTTTCCGTTTGAGATTTTCTTGACAAAACAAAATGACCAATTTTTTAAATACTGGAAAGCCACGCTTACTTCGGGAGCTCATATGCTAAAAATAGAACAGTACAGAGAAGATGAGCATGGCCCTCATGTAAGGATGTCATGCAAATTCATTAAGCATTTCATATTTTGGGGGTTTGGTGAGATCCCACTCAACAGCTACACTGCACAAGTATATGATACACTTCCTGGGTGAAGGATATAGCTACAATTGGGACTTTAACCTTACAAATACAAACTATGTAACCTAATTTATGTATCCTCATATTAATCTGAAATTGAAAAAAAAAGCTGGAAACTCTGTGACTAAAAGTACTTTCAGGAGATTCAAGAAGCAAAAATTGTTAGCAAAGTTTCCATTAAATAGGAAAGAGGAGATACATAGTGGCTTCATGGAATGAATCCTATCTGGTTTGATTTCAGGTAGAAGATGAGACAGTTTTGTGCAATATTCCCTACATGGGAGATGAGGTGAAGGAAGAAGATGAGACTTTTATTGAAGAGCTGATCAATAATTACGATGGGAAAGTCCACGGTGAAGAAGGTGGTAGTGCTGAGTTCTTTGGGAGAAAACTTTGTTAGCATAGTGCCTCTTCTTTAATACCTAATCTTCTGCCCCTTGGATTACTCACTGAAAACTATTTTAATGTCTTCACATGGCTGGGAGTCAAAATTTTATATTAAAAATACCCCAGTTAAAATTTAAAAGTAGTTGGATCATAAAAGGATTATATGGTAATCGGTGGCTAAAGAGAAAGTTCATTGTACAAATAAGTTTAATCTTAGGAGTTTTCCATAAGTCTATCCAAAGTCATTTTGTTTGTTCTTCATTTGCCTTTCTCTAAGAATGGCAAAGAGCTAACATCTCTGTCATACTACTTTTATCCAAGTACTATCCCCTGGATCTCACAGGGGTTGGTTTTAATATCCTGAAGTTTCTAAAAGCAAGTCATTTGGATTTATTTGTAATTCTAGAAAAGACTGTCTGTATGTGAGGAGTGGGAAGAGGAGGAGAGCCTCCCCTTGGATTTGCAAACCAATAGCCATGCCTGCTGTCTCGCTCTCATTTTTTTTTTTTGCAGTTTTTGGCCTAGGCTGGGTTTGAACCGACCACCTCCAGCATATGGGACCGGTGCCCTACTCCTTTGAGCCACAGGTGCCACCCGCATGCCTGCTCTTTGAACAATTGCAGGCACTGTTGTAACGCTGTTGAAATTCATTTTTCATCCACAGCACCCTCTAGTGTTCAAAGACTTCTAAATTATAATAGAGCCCCATAAAGTATTATGAGAAAAAAATGCTCTTTTTTTAAAAAATTTATTTTTATTTATCTATTTTTTTGGAGACAGAGTCTCACTTTGTCACCCTTGGTAGAGTGCTGTGATGTCACAGCTCACAGCAACCACAAACTCTTGGGTTCAAGTGATTCTCATGCCTCAGCCTCCCAAGTAACTGGGACTACAGGTGCCTGCCACAACACCTGACTTTTTTTAGAGACGGGGTCCTCACTCTGGTTCAGGCTGGTCTTGAACTTGTGAGCTCAGGCGATCCACCTGCCTCAGCCTCCCAAGTGCTGGGATTACAGGTGTGAGCCACCTCACCTGTCAAAAAATGCTCTTTTTTTTTTTTTTTGAGACAGGAGCCTCAAGCTGTCCCCCTGGGTAGAGTGCCATGACATCTCAGCTCACAGCAACCTCCAACTCCTGGGCTCAAGCGAGTCTCCTGCCTCCGCCTCCCAAGTAGCTGGGACCACAGGCGCCCACCACAACGCCCGGCTATTTTTTGGTTGCAGCCGTCATTGTTGTTTGGCGGGCCCAGGCTGGATTCGAACCCGCCACCTTGGGTGTATGTGGCTGGCGCCTTAGCCACTTGAGCCACAGGCGCCGAGCCAAAAAATGCTCTTTTGATTTAGAGAAGTCACTACTGATCCATCAGCAGCAAAACTCAATGAGTTTCTATTTCATTATTCTTTCTCCTGCTTGTGATTGTATTCTTTTGCGATATTTTGGACCATAAATATAAGACTATACATTTTTTTGAGATTTTGAACCATAAATAAACAGTTGTCCTGTGACTGTGGATGTGAAGTACCCAGTAAGAATAAAGTCTATAACTGGCTTCCTTACTCTAGCCAGCTGACCTGTTAAAAGTGTCAGAGTCAACCAAATGATTTTAATTCCCCGATTGTCCATATAAAAATGTACATTTGTTATCACATAGGCCTCAGAGGTGAATATAAGAAAGTCTTACCAGGAAAACTTACGGAATATGAAGCAATCTCAGCTCATCCTTCTAATATTCATGTTTCAGAGATGATCCCTGGATCTGTCCTGATTAGTGATGCTGTTTTCCTGGAGTTGGTAGATGCCCTGAATCAGTACTCAGATGAGGAGGAGGAAGGGCACAATGATAGCACAGATGGAAAGCAGGATGACAGCAAAGAAGATCTGCCAGTAACAAGGAAGAGAAAACGACATGCTATTGAAGGTACGCAGCATTGCTTCCTTATTCCATTTTGAAAGTGACAGGGATAGGGGAGATGGAAAAACAGGAAAGGTTTAGTGCCTTATTAAAGGCTGTTATGGCTTGGCGCCTGTAGCTCAGTGGCTAGGGTGCCAGACACATACACTGGAGCTGGCGGGTTCAAATTCAGCCTGGAGCTGCCAAACAACAATGACAGCTACATACAAAAAATAACCGGGTGTTGTGGTGAGCGCCTGTAGTCTCAGCTAACTAGCCAGACAGCATGGTGGATGCCTATAATCTCAGCAACTCAGGAGGCTGAGGCAAGAGAATTGCTTAAGCCCAAGAGTTTGAGGTTGCTGTGAGGTGTGACGCCACGGCACTCTACCCAGGGTGACAGCTTGAGACTTTGTCTCAAAAAAAAAAAAGGCTGTTGTTAGTTTTCATTGGTCTGCTTGAAATAAGAAAACATTGTTACTGACTGACTGATAGCTTAAGATAGCTGTTACTTAGTTGAATTGAAAAGTAAAGAGCATATAGAATAATCATTGTGACTTCTTTCTTTTTTTTTTTTTTTTTTTGAGACAGAGTCTCACTCTCTCCCTTAGTAGAGTGCCATGGTGTCACAGCTCACAAGAACCTCAAAATCTAGGGCTCAGGCAATCCTCTTGCCTCAGCCTCCTGAGTAGCTGAGATTATAGGCATCCACCATGCTGTCTGGCTAGTTTTTTTTGTTGTTGTTGTTTGTTTGTTTTGGTTTTTTTTGAGAAGAATCTTAAGCTGTCACCATTGGTAATATACTGTGGCGTCATTGTAGCTCACAGCAACCTCCAACTCTTGGGCTCAAGCAACCCTCTTCCTTCAGTTTTTTCTATTTTTAGTAGAGACAAGGTCAGGCTGGTCTGGAACTCATGAGCTTAAGCAATTCACTCACTTTAGCCTCCCAGAGTGCTAGGATTACAGGCCTAGTTTTTCTGTTTTAATAGAGATGGGGTCTCACTCTTTCTTAGGCTGGTCTCAAACTCCTGAGCTCAAGCAATCCACCTTCCTCAGCCTCCCAGAGTGCTGGGATGACTGGTGTGAGGCACCAAGCCTATTACATTTCTAATTATAAAAGTAATATGTTTGGAAAACATGGAAAATTATAAAAGAAATTACTCTGTAATCCTACTAGGAATAACCTGAATTAATATCTCTTTCTTAAAATATGTACATATATAAATCAACATGTTTGTATATTATTATATAAAATTAGGATCATACCAATTTATATATGCATATATAATTTTATGTCCTTTTTATTTAATCTTATATCATGAACATTTTCTATGTCATTAATATTTATTTAAGAGTTAATTGTTTACCAAAATGTGGAAACAGCCTAAATGCCCACGAACCCAGGAATGGATTAACAAGCTGTGGTATATGTACACTATGGAATGCTATTCAGCCATTAAACAAATGGAGACTTTGTAGACTTTGTATTAACCTGGATGGAAATAAGAATAATGTGAAACACATTATTTTTAGCAAAGAATCACAAGAATGGAGAACCATGAATCCTATGTACTCAATTTTGATATGAGGACAATTAATGACAATTAATGACATGGTGGGGGTGGGGGAAGGAGAGAGCAGAGAGAGAAAGAAGGAGGGAGGGGTGGGAGAAAGGAAGAGCAGAGACAGGGAAGGAGGGAGGGGAGGGGAAGGTCTTGGTGTGTGCCACACTTTTGGGGGGCAAGATATAATTGTAAGAGGGACTTTACCTAACAAATGCAATCAGTGTAACCTGGTTTCTTGTACCCTCAATGAATCCCCAACAATAAAAAAAAAAGTGAAATAAAAAGAGTTAATTGTTTAATTATACTATATATTATTTAATTATACCATTTTTCCAGGGACATAGTTTCTCTCTTAATGTAACATAGTAATAATATTATAATGTAGTTTCAGTATTAGTCTTGTTCTTCTGCATCTGCAGTGTGATAGGATTCTTCTGTGTTTAGGTCTCTCCATGAAAGCTCTTTTCACCTCCAGATTCTAATTGGGACTATGGATTTTGTTGTTAACATGTCCACAACTCTGACTTCTTTATCTACTGGTAGCCTATATGAGATATATCCAGGTAGCACTTGTGCATCTCTAAACAGTCAGTGGTTAGATTAACAAAGCAGCTCTAATTCAAAATGCTGTCATAGGGTGGCACCAGTGGCTCAGTGAGTAGTGCTCCAGCCCCATATACCAAGGATGGCGGGTTTGAACCTGACCCGGGCCAAACTGCAACAAAAAAATAGCTGGGCGTTGTGGTAGGCACCTGTAGTCCCAGCTACTTGGGAGGCTGACGCAAGAGAATCACCGAAGCCCAAGAGTTGGAGGTTGCTGTGAGCTGTGACGCCATGGCACTCTACCAAGGGCAACAAAGTATGACTCTGTCTTAAAAAAAACAAAACAAAATAAAATGCTGTGACTGATGAGGAGGAAGGTCATACAGTTTTGTTTGCATGTTCTGATAACTACACTCAGAAGTTTTTCTTTGTTTTTTCTTTTTAATGTGTGTGTGTTTGATTTCCAATTCAGGCAACAAAAAGAGTTCCAAGAAACAATTCCCAAATGACATGATCTTCAGTGCAATTGCCTCTATGTTCCCTGAGAATGGTGTCCCGGATGACATGAAGGAGAGGTAGGGAAAGTTGTCCCCATATACAGAGTGCTTGAACAAAACTTTTATTCAAACCTATTTTTTTCACTAGTAAAAAACCTTGTTTATGGTAAGTGGATTATGATTTGACTGCAGTTTGATTATTTCTTGCTTATTAGTCTAGTCTAAATGCCCCTTGCTATATTTAAAGGGTCATGCTATGCTGGCTTTTGAGTAATTCTGGGCAGAGAACTTTTATTCTGCCATTTTGTGGGGAAGTTATTCTAGCACCATGCTTATCAAATCTTTCCCTCCTCTATGCCTAGCCCAGTATAATCACAGTGGTGTACCCATTTAGTTATACACTATTCCTTCATCAACCAGGGCCATTTGGCTTGGTGCCTGTAGCTCAGGCGGCTAAGGCACCAGCCACATACACTGGTAGGTTTGAATCCAGCCCAGGCCTGCCAAACAATGACAACTGCAACCAAAAAATAGCCAGGCATTGTGGTGGGTGCCTGTAGTCCCAGCTACTTGGGAGGCTGAGGCAAGAGCATTGCTTAAGCCCAGGAGTTGGAGGTTGCTGTGAGCTGTGATGCCACAGCACTCTACCCAGCTTAAGGCTCTGTCTCAAAGAAAAAAAAAGGGCCAATTAAAAACTCATCCTTCCTTGGCCAGCTGTATCTGGATGACTGTCAATATCCAAACTGCATTCCCTCAGTGGAGGCATTCCCTTAGAAAAACTTTGTCTCTCTTTTCTTAAATAGGTATCGAGAACTAACAGAGATGTCAGACCCCAATGCACTTCCACCTCAGTGCACACCCAACATCGATGGTCCCAATGCCAAGTCTGTGCAGCGGGAACAATCTCTCCACTCCTTCCACACACTTTTTTGCCGGCGCTGCTTTAAATATGACTGCTTCCTTCACCGTGAGTGGGACTACTATGTTTGAAATGCTCTCTTCTGTTTCGTCCCCAACCACCATTTCCTTCTCTTTGTTCTAATTAAGCATGTAGAGTTCCTGGCTTCTGATCTGATGATGGCTTTACAAAGGGCTTGTTCTATTTTCACTTATCAATTATAGTACAACATGCTTTGCATGATAGAGACAAACTAACCAGCAACATAACTGTCCCTCAGTACCTCCTAGCTTTGAAAGGTTTGTATTGATATTAGAAATGACTACATTTTGTGTACCTTGATGGTAGCTGTTTGTGTCAAATTCTGTCTCCTGTAGTAGCTCCCTAGTTTGATTTTGTTCCTCCCTATCCTGTCACGTGAATAAGACCATTAGAAACAGGACAGTTTTTGTTTTGCAGCTTTTCATGCCACCCCTAATGTATATAAACGTAAGAACAAAGAAATCAAGATTGAACCAGAACCATGTGGCACAGACTGCTTCCTTTTGCTGGTATGTTTTTAAGCTGTTCTTGCATTGTTAACTTTGTTGAAAATATTGAGCAGGAAATGGTCTTGGGCTTTCTGCCCCTGGGAACACAAACCAAGTAAACCAGTACATAGTACTGCAGAGGTCATAAAGCACAAATAAAACATGTGTTCTGCTTGTAAGGAGCTCCCCAGACTTATTAGGACTATGAAGTTAATATGACAGAGTATAATTTGAAGAGCTTTAAAGGCTTTCCTGCTCTAAATATCACCTTAGATTTCAAGCTGAAACTGTACTGTTAGAATTGGAACAGAGTGAGTGTGTGTGTGTGTGTGTGTGTAGGGGGGATGAGGTGCACACTCCATTTTCTTTGCTGTCTTCCATTAAATGCATGTAATCAAGCGGCCCCCGTGGATCAGTGAGTAGGGTGCCAGCCCTATATACCGAGGGTGGCGGGTTCAAACCCGGCCCTGGCCAAACTGCAACAGAAAAATAGCCGGGCATTGTGGCAGGTGCCTGTAGTCCCACCTACTTGGGAGGCTGAGGCAAGAGAATCACCTAAGCCCAGGAGTTGGAGGTTGCTGTGAGCTGTGTGATGCCACGGTACTCTACTGAGGGTGATAAAATGAGACTCTGTCTCTACAAAAAAAATAAAATAATTGCATGTAATCATGAAAACAATAGCACATGAAGATGATGATATCTTATGGTGATCAACCATATGGACCCTTCCCTGATGGACATACCTTATGTGGCAGCATAAACATGCCTTATGTGTCCTGCATATCTTTGAGGAGGCAGTATACTGAGAGCTAGAAGGGAATAGGTCAGTTGGATCTGCCAAAGACATGATGGGGTTTTCTACACAAAAGGACAACAGAATGAGCTTAGGGTAAGAATAAAATGCCTTGATAAAATTTCTGCCGCTGATTAAAATTATATTATATAGCCAATTGCTTTTGGAACCATTTTTAGTGGGATAATAGAAGGAAAGATGGTAGAGTGCAGTTGGGCATATGTCTGTAAAATTGGCCAAATGGTAAGAGACAAAGAATAAATAAACTTTATCCAATTAATTTTTTCCCGAACATGTATTGACTCCTTCCTATATGCCAAATACCATGCTAGACCCTTAACATAACTTGTCTTACTCAAAGTTTGTTCATAAGTCAGTGGTGTGGTAACAATGAAATTCAATCCCTGAACTAACTCTGTTGTCTATGCTTTTTTTGATGATACCTTATTACTTCAACATAACAGCGTTTATATAAGTCAGAAGGGCATTCTCACAGTAGTCACACTGGGATGCAGTACATGTACTATCAAAACGCTGCCAGTGTTCAAAATGTGTATGTGTAGGGTGGTGCCTGTGGCTCAAAGGAGTAGGGCACCAGCCCCATATGCTGGAGGTGGTGGGTTCAAACCCAGACCTGGCCAAAAACTGCACCAAAAAAAAAAAGTATATGTGTATAACTAACAGAAACATATATGTGCAGTTTTTCTTTTACTGCTTGTCAAGTATGATTACATATTTAAATGTAATGCTGGACTATTTTTCCCAACTGTTTATTAAGAACATTTTCAAACAAGCAGAGGAAGTTGAAAGATAACTTTTTCCTGGCTTTGATACTATGGCTTTGATGACTTTTTTCCCATATTTGCTTTGTCTGTGTATTTATCTATGTGTATCTTTTGCTAAGCCACTAGAAAATAAGTTGAAGACACTGTGATGCTTATTTGCTAAATATTTTAGCATGTATCTTCTAAAAGTGAAGATGTTCTCTTACATAAGCACGTTATTACACCAAAGAAAATGCCCCAGAATTTTATAATATCCTCTATTATTCATTCTATATTTAATTTTTTCCAGCTTTACCAAGAATAGATGTTTTAATGGTTTTTTGTTGTTGTTTTTTGTTTTTTGAAACAAGGTCTCTCTCTATTGCCCTGGCCAGAGTGCAGTAGCATCAACATAGCTCACTGCAACCTCAGATTTCTGGGCCCAAGGGATCCTCCTCCTCAGCCTCCAAAGTAGTTAGGACTATAGGCATGAAGACCACAGCCAACTAATTATTTAATTTTTTTGTAGAGACAAGGTTTTGCAATGGTGCTCAGGCTGGTCTCAAACTTCTGGCCTCCCAAAGCACTAGGATTATAAAACACAACAGGCTGTGTTTTGTTTTGTTTCAAACCAGGATCATCCAGTTAGACACTATACTTGGTTATTATGTCTTTTTACTCTTTTTTAAATCTCAGATGATTCCATCACTTTTATTTTTCTTTTTAAAAGTTCCAGGCTGGTTGTCTTGCAAGATGACCCACATTCTAGATTTGTCTATTGTTTCTCATAATGTTATTCAACTTGTTTCTTTATCTCTTATTTCCCATAACCTAGAAATTAACTGTGGAAACTTGATTTTATTTATTTAAATGTTTTAGGTAAGAATACTTTCTAAGTGGTGCTGTGTACTTTATACTGTAGCATAGGCGCTTAATATCAGATTCAACTAATTTTAAAACTTCTCTTTTGGAATTTCCTTCAGGCCATATAGCATATTATTAATAGCCTTAGTGGTGGTAAGTCCTCCTTTTTTACAAGCGGATTTAGTTAAAGACAGCTAGAAGTCTTTGGGAATCAAATATGGTGAAAAGATATTGGTGATCAAATTGGGTGATAGTTACTTGATTTTTTTTTAAAAAAGCATCGCTATAATCATGAAACAGTATTCTTCTGAGTTTTGTATGCAGATGGGAAGTTTCAAAATTAAGTATTAACAATGTACTCATTCTAGTATTATACATTTTGTTATTGAAACAGAGGTAGTGTGGTAGAATGGAAAGAGAAGTGGCCTAGAGGCAAAGAGATCTTGATTCTCTGTCCCCTCTGGAACCGTTAGCTCTATCAAGCTCATCTCATTCCCTGTGAACCTTCTTTCCTTATCTGTAAGAAAATATGTTCTCAAATTCTAAATGACTAGTGTGCAAATGAATTTTAGATACAACTTCCTGGAAAACTGAATACACATAGTTGCATAGATTATATCTTTTTTAAGATTAGAGGACAACTTTCATTATTACATGGTTGCCATTACATGTCACAGAACACACACACACCCAAAGAGCATCTGTGCAGATGTTAAGAAAGACAAGGCTCTGGGCTTTCTCTAGTTCCTGTCCATAATGTGTTCACTGCAGGAGGGAGCAAAGGAGTACGCCATGCTCCACAACCCCCGTTCCAAGTGCTCTGGTCGTCGCCGGAGAAGACACCACGTGGTCAGTGCTTCCTGCTCCAACACTTCAGCCTCTGCTGTGGCTGAGACTAAAGAAGGGGACAGTGACAGGGACACAGGCAATGACTGGGCCTCCAGTTCTTCAGGTACAGTGAACAGAAAATGAACATCTTTTCTTCCATGGCAAGGACTCTTGGTAAACCCAGGATTGCTGCCTGACACTTAACATTACTACCTTTTTCAAATTGTTAATTCTGGCCAGGTTCAGGGCTTATGCCTATACCCTAACACTTTGGAAGGCTAAGGAGGAAGGATTGCTTGAGGCCAGGAGTTTAAGACCAGCGTGTAACCCCATCTCCAAAAAATACAAAAGTTAGGGGTGTGGTGGGTGCCTGTAGTCCCAGCTATGTGAGAGGTTGAGACAGGAGGATCTCTTGAGCCCAGGAGTTTGAGATTGCAGTGAGCTATACCGCATTGTAGGCTAGACAACAGAGAAGACCCCGTATCCCAAAAAAACAAAAAACAAAAAAAACCCCTCTTAATCCTTTCTACAAGTTCACCTGTGGAGACAGGGAATATTTTCATTCCTAACTATTCTGCCTTTTAATTAGAATATTATACTTTTGGATTTGTGACAAACTACCAATGACAACTGCATTCTACCCTCATCTGTTTCTATTATTTCTTCCCCTTAGAGGCTAACTCTCGCTGTCAGACACCCACAAAACAGAAGTCTAGTCCAGCCCCACCTCAGCTCTGTGTAGTAGAGGCCCCATCAGAGCCTGTGGAGTGGACAGGGGCTGAAGAATCTCTTTTTCGAGTCTTCCATGGCACCTACTTCAACAACTTCTGTTCAATAGCCAGGCTTCTGGGAACTAAGACATGCAAGCAGGTATTGTCTGAAAGTGGCAGAACAGACTTGGACCCTCCTTTCATCTGTTGCTCTGTCCAACCCTTTGTCATCTTGTAAGGCTGTATGTCTGGGGAGAAGCTGTCTTGAGTTCAGGATCTGGGGCATCAAGTGAATCCGTGAGCCTTTCTCAAATGCAGGGCTTGATAATGCAGAGGATCTGCTCTCCTTCTTGCTGAATTCTTACTTCTGTCTCTGCCTATTTAACTCTTATGGATGATCCTACACTCTTTCAGCTTCTTTTTTTTGTTCTTGCCTCCTTTCTAAATGGTATCCCTTCCCTAGAAAGGACTCCCAAATCTTTCTGCAGACTCTCTTAGCTTGCATACTCCTGCTTCTGTGGCTGCCACTCCCTCCATCAGCTTCCTTAGCTGCTTTATTCTCCAAATTTTCTATCACCAGATTCTCCAATTACCACCTCAGTATCTGGGCATAGGCCTCACCCTTCCCACTCATACCATTACGAGAAACAGTTAACAGCAGCCACTGATGCTCTGGAGGCAGGAAAGGGCTACAGGGAGAACAGGGCAGGGAGGTAGGTGTTGGGACCCATCTGTCCAACAAGAAAGGAGCCCCAGCACTTGCTCACTTGGCTTCCTAACTTCTGGAGGAGTCTCTGTGGCCTCTTCTTTGTGCTTCTTTACTTCGAACAGTTAATAGAACTATGAGTCAAAGTGCCCTTTGCTTTCTTTTTGGACCTCATACGTATTTCCCTCAGCCACAGGTTCTCAACCACAAAGTGTACGGAATTGTATGCCAGAAAAATTCTTGACTAAATGTACTTTCTTTAGAAGATTTATAGTTTTCAGAGGGCCTGTGGCCAACAAGAAAAAGGAAAAGCTAAAAATGAGTGCGAGAAGGGCTGGCTGCGGTGGCTCACGCCTGTAATCCCAACACTTTGGGAGGCTGAGGCAGGTGGACTGCTTGAGCTCAGGAGTTTGAGACCAGCCTGAGCAAGAGAGAGACCTGTATCTAAAAATAGCTGGGCACTGGGGTGGGTACCTGTAGTCCCAGCTACTTGAGAGGCTGAGGCAAGAGAATCACTTAAGCCCAAGACTTTGAGGTTGCTGTAAGCTATGACGGCACAGCATTCTACAAAGGGTGACAAAGTAAGACTGTCTCAAAAAAAAGAGAGAGAGAGAGAGAGAAAGTGCTAGAAGAGAAGCAGCAGGAGGAGCCAGCATTTCCAAACTGCTGCCCTATGGAAGCAGTCAAGGCTCTGACATCTTTATACCAACAGAGGGAGCTAGTGTTTACCCCAGTGGAACGGTTCCTGTCCTGCCTTGCTTGTCGGTACACAAGGCACACAAAGTTGTCCTTCCTAAAAAGAGGCAGAGACTGTAGGTAAGAATCAGCCTACTCTTCTACCCATGCTTGGTAGAAAGAGCAATAGCTGCTGACCAGGGAAGGTATTACTGAGCTCAGTATTTCTCCCTTCTGGAGTCAGGATGTATGATTAGGAATTAACTTTAGAGCCAGTGACCCAATGTCCCAATGGTGCTCTGTCTCTCCCTGACTGAGGAGATACCTCTGAGCTCTCCAAGTCCCCCACCAGCCCAGCACCCAGCATAGCCACTTATCTGACCACCTTGCTGAGAAGGAGAGACAGACCCTGTTGGATTTGTCTTCCAGGTCTTTCAGTTTGCAGTCAAAGAATCACTTATCCTGAAGCTGCCAACAGATGAACTCATGAACCCCTCACAGAAGAAGAAAAGGAAGCACAGGCAAGGACAAAGGATTCTCTGTGGCCAGGCTGTTAACCTGTGCTCTGACCTCCCCTTGGACTTCCCATCTGCCTCCCTCTTCAGCCCCTGCACAGGCTGTGTGAGCCAATCAGTTTGGAATCACACAACTGAGGGCCACCCTTCTCAGTGCTCCCTGAGTGTGTGTTCCATGGACCAGCCCTTCCCCTGTCCCTAGATGCAGTGGACTGTAAAATGACTGTCTGGTTTTTCATTTTCCATTGACACTCCTGGCCAGTAGGACATGAACTGCCCTCAAGGCTTCACCCTGAAGCCATTTCTCCTTGTTGGGTGGTTAGTTACCACCTTACCCATTCTCAACTCTGACCAGAATCCTTTTCATTGTGTTGGCACTTGTATTATTTTTCTAAGTTGTATAATAACACTGTCTTCTAGCTAGCTTTTACTTAGGGTTGGAAGTTTTTTAAAAAATTGGCACTCTTGAAAAAAAAATTGGCACTCTTTCTGGCTTTATTCCCTGATGACTGTCACCCATCGAAGGAAAGAGCTTACTGTAGTTCTAGATACAGGAGGAAATCCCTGTGACTCTTCCCTTTCACTTCTTTCAGAGAAGATCCTGAAAGACCTTTCTACCTCTCCATCTTGAGACTCCCCCACATCTCCACCTCAGCACCAGGGAAAGGGAAAGAGAAACAATAGCATTATAATAGACATATAGCATTGGGCTTTGTTTTGTTTCTGTATTTTGTCCTTTTATGTTTGTTTGGGTGGGAATTGTGTTTAAGTTTAAATCTTGTAGCAGGGGCCAATGGGATTGAGAATGAACTCTTAGCTTCTGTGTGCCAAAGTAGGGCTTTGGGAGGATACTCCCCTCACCCTCATCACCAAACCACAGTCTCTGATTGCAAGTCACATTGTTATTTACCTGCGTCTGTAGAGTTCCCAAGGGCCATGAGCCAGAACCATCCTTTCTCTCTTTTTCAGGTTGTGGGCTGCACACTGCAGGAAAATTCAGCTGAAGAAAGGTTGGTTTCACCAGGGTGTTCTTCATCAGTTCAATACGAGGTCTCGTTCTGTGACCATCACCCTGCCCCACCTATGGCTGCAGGTGCTGACCCTGCACTGCTTCCGCTCATTGCACATTTCTCTGCAGCAGCTGAGAACAGCTCAGCTTCTCACTGCAGCTGAGAAGGCCTCTTAGAGTGTAGAGTTCTGGCCTTGTGGTCTCTGACTTTTGCAGTGTGCCATTTGCTGGGTTCCAGACCTCGTTTAATGTTTAGAATGTCTGTCCTGCTATTCTACACTATCTCCACACCCTCCCCACAAAGCAAATCACCCTGTCTTGCCTTATGAACAAGGGTTAACTGTGATATCTTCTAAGTATTAAATGTGCGTCCAAGGTGATAGTTCAAACGAGTCTCCTTTGAAGTGGGTGATTAGACACTTGGTCAGTAGAGCAGCTGGGGAGTAGGGTTGTAGCAGTGTCAGATCTGTTCTTCTCTCTCCTAGATAACTCTTCCACACAAGTGTACAACTACCAACCCTGCGATCACCCAGACCGCCCCTGTGACAGCACCTGCCCCTGCATCATGACTCAGAATTTCTGTGAGAAGTTCTGCCAGTGCAACCCAGACTGTAAGCGTGCTACATTTCCCTGTAGTCACCAAAATAGCCTCACTATGTCCCAGGCTCCCCTCTTGCTCTGTCCTTTGCTGCTTGCGAGCTTTCTGATACCTCTCTTAGCTGTGTTTTAGGCATTCTCTAGACAAAACAAGATGCTTAAGATATGGAAAAGTCATTTTGGGGGGTTCGGCACCCATAGCACAGTGGTTACGGCGCCAGCAGGAGACCAAGTCTTGCTCCGCTTCCTGGACCCGAGGGTGGCGGGTTTGAACCCAGCCCAGGCCAGCTAAGCCACTGCAACAAAAAAATAGCCAAACATTTTGGCAGGTGCCTGTACTCCCAGGTACTTGGGAGGCTGAGGCAAGAGAATCGCTTAAGCCCAAGAGTTTGAAGTTGCTGTGAACTGTGACGCCAAGGCACTCTACCGAGGATGACATAGTGAGACTCTGTCTTAAAAAAAAAAGAATCATTTTTAGAAAACCCTAAGGTTCATGATTTTAAAAGCAGCAATTATTCAGTAATCAAAGCTCTCCCCACTTTGCCCTCCAGAGGAGAATTAAGAAACATGGAAATCTGGGGGCCAGGTGCCCATAATCCCAGTGCTTTGTGAGACTGAGGTGGGAGGATTGCTTGAGGCCAGGAGTTCTAGTCAAGCCTCGGCGATATAGCAAGACACCAGCTCTACAAAAAATTTAAAAATTAACCAGACATGGTGGCAGGCACCTATATCCCTAGCTACTCAAGAAGCTGAGGCAGGAGTTCAGGGTTATAGTGAGCTGTGATCATGCCACTCCCCTCATGCCCAGGCAATAATATGAGATCCTGTCTCAAAAAAAACCCAAATTGGCTCGGTGCCTGTGGCTCAAGCGGCTAAGGTGCCAGCCACATACACCTAAGGTGGCGGGTTCGAATCCCCAGCCCGGGCCCGCCAAATAACAATGATGGCTGCAACCAAAAAATGGCCAGGCGTCGTGGTGGGCGCCTGTAGTCCCAGCTACTTGGGAGGCTGAGGCAGGCGACTCGCTTGAGCCCAGGAGTTGGAGGTTGCTGTGAGTGTGATGCCATGGCACTCTACCCAGAGGGATAGCTTGAGGCTCTGTCTCAAAAAAAAAAAAAAAAAAACAAATTGTTTTGATTCAAATCTTTTTCAGGTGCCAGTCTGTGTATGTCTGATTTTACTTACTAGGTGGAGTCTTAATGTCAGGTAGGAGACAGGGGCCTGGATGTCAGCAGAGGCTAATGGTGCTTCTCTTTCACTTCTTATACCTCACCCTGTGCCCTTCCCCACTCAGGGCTGAGTAGTTTGATGGCAGTCCCCAGAGCTTGCAGAACTTGATGCCCAGGCGGGTATGCTAGAAATACCTCCTCACCCATAGTAGATATCAATCTTAGCCACAGCAGAAAGGTGCTTGCGCTAGGGCGGGCAGTGGGTGGAGGAAGGTGGCATAGAACGGATGCATTCTGTTCTCATAATGACACTTGTTTTGATGGTGAGGATGTACAGTGAAAAGCACAGATTTTGTTTCTTCTGGGGGTACTTTCCATCTCAGGAGGAGGGACAGTGTTGTTGGGGGATCTCTAGGAGATATACCTGCTTTTTTCTTTTATCTTTTCTTTCCTTTTTTTTTTTTTTTGAGACCGAGTCTTGCTCTGCTTCCTGGACCAGAAAGCAATGGCATCATCATAGGCCCACTGCAGCCTCAAACTCCTGGGCTCAATCAATCCTATCCTCCTGCTTCAGCTGCCCAGATAGCTGGGATTAGAAATGCACACCATCATGCCCAGCTAATTTTTCTATTTTTAGTAGAGACAGGGTCTCAGATTACTGGTCTCAAGCAGTCCTCCTGCCTCAGCCTCCTACAGTGCTAGGATTATAGGCACAAGCCACTACAACTGACCTGTATCTATGTGTTTGATTTGCAGGCATGAATATTAGGAGGCACTCCATTTTCTCTGAAGAAAAAGACAAGTATTTGATGATTAGAAAGGGATCTTCTCTCCCATTTTGCCAAAACGTCCTTGAACATATGACATTTCTTTCTTTTTTTTTTTTTTTTTTGTTTAGCAGGCCCAGGCTAAGTTCAAACCCACCAACCCAGTGCACAGAGCCAGCACTCTAAGCGTTGAGTTATGGGTGCCCAGCGGCTGCTGCTCTTCTTAACCTCACCTGTCTTCCCACCCAGGCCAGAATCGTTTCCCTGGCTGTCGCTGTAAGACTCAGTGCAATACTAAGCAGTGTCCATGCTATCTAGCCGTGCGAGAGTGTGACCCCGACTTGTGTCTCACCTGTGGGGCCTCAGAGCACTGGGACTGCAAGGTGGTTTCCTGTAAAAACTGCAGCATCCAGCGTGGCCTCAAGAAGGTAAGGCCTTTTCTCAGGACCCTGCACCAAATACTGGGGTGGAAGAGAAAGAATTGTCCCAGGTATCCTCTTTCCACTGGTTACTTAGAGGGTTTGTGAGAGTGCTTGATAAAGCCTAAAAGACACATAGAAGTAATAAAGTTTCCTATCCTAGTAAGACATTAGAAAAGTGGCCCCCTGCGCTGGCCAGACTGAAAGGGGCAGAGAGGTAGATGCATCATTGAAGTTATCTAGTTTTTCCTCTTACATAGCAGTGGATTCCCATAGTGTCAGGACTGAGAGGTCCCCGGGTTAAAAGAAGAGGTGCTCTGTTTCTTTTAACCACCTCTCTTTTTTGTCTACCCACCCCCCACCACAGAATAGAATAGTTCAGATCTTTTTCTGCTTTCAGATCCTCTTAATAGTTGCTGGTTCTTTCCACTCTGCCCCCCAGCAAACACATCAGCATACACACCCTCACTCGCATAAGCCCTATAGGCTGAGGCTTGGCTCTCTTCCTCAGCACCTGCTCCTGGCCCCCTCAGATGTGGCCGGATGGGGCACCTTCATTAAAGAATCTGTGCAGAAAAACGAATTCATTTCTGAATATTGTGGTGAGGTAAGTGCTATAGATTTGGCCCACATTCTTACTGGGGAGATACTGATAAGAAACTCTGATTTTCTGTGGGCCAGGCTTCTTTGACTTAATCTCCAAATAACTCAGCTAAGTTCTCATGTGACCTCTGGCAAGGAGGGATGGGGGTGGGGGACCCTACAGAACTCTTTGTAGTCCTGAAAAAAACCACAGTTCTTCAACTCTTTGTCAACTCCAGTCACATGAGGGAGTGATAGTGGGGCTCTCTTCCGCCTCCATACTGGTCAGCCTCAGTGGGCATTGAAACAACATAAGCTGAATTCTCTCTCTTATGATTCTCATCATGGTACTCAGTAAGCACCCATGTTTGACACTGCCCTCTCCCAGCTATTTCTAGGGGCAGGGTACTATGCCCTGAGCAGGCATACTGATACTCCCTGTTCGTTCCTTTTCTGTCTCTCCAGCTCATCTCTCAGGATGAGGCTGATCGACGAGGAAAGGTCTATGACAAATACATGTCCAGCTTTCTCTTCAACCTCAACAATGGTATGGAGTCTCCACATCTTGTCCCAAGGTGGTCTTTATGCCAAATGTCCCTTGCTGTAATCCAGGTTCAAGATCAGCTCTCAGTCTTCCAAGAGATGCATAGTGCAAGGGAGCAAGATGGAATTCAGAGACCCCATGTGCCATAGTTGACTTACTTTGGGAGAATCTCTGGGTCCAGATTGTGTTTATAATAAGAGCACTGAGCACTTAGACCTCAGAAATCTCTCTACATGACCAGACACAGTGGCTCATACCTATAATCCTAGCACTTTGGGAGGCCAAGGCAGGTGGATCTCCTGAGCTCAGGAGTTCAAGACCTGAGCCAGGGCTTGAACCTGAGCAATAGCCTGAGCAAGGGCTATTCCCCATCTCTAAAAATAGCTGGGCTTTTGTGGTGGGTACCTGTAGTCCTAGCTACTCAGGAGGCTAAGGCAAGAGGATTGGTTGAGCCTAAGAGTTTGAGGTTGCTGTGACCTATGATACCACAGCACTCTACCCAGGGCAACAAAGTGAGACTCTGTTTTTGTTTTAATTTATTTATTTTTTGTAGTTTTGACTGGGGCCAGGCTTGAACCCACCACCCCTGGTATATGGGGCTGGCACCCTACTCCTTGAGCCACAAGTGCTGCCCCGAGACTCTGTTTTAAAAAAAAAGAATAGGGCGGCACCCGTAGCTCAGTGGGTAGGGCACTGGCCACATACACTGAGCCTAGCAGGTTCGAAACCAGCCTGAGCCAACTAAAATCAACAGTGACAACTGCAACAAAAAAATAGCCAGGTGTTGTGGCGAGGCTGAGGCAAGAGAATCACTTAAGCCCAGGAGTTTGAGATTGCTGTGAGCTGTGACACCACGGCACTCTACCAAGGGTGATAGAGTGAAACTCTGTATCAAAAAAAAAAAAAGAAAAGAAATCTCCCTACACAATAGATGGGAAGAGAAAATCCATCATAATTCAAACAGAGGAAGCAACCCAAAGGAGAGCTCCCACACGAGGCTGAATTCTTAGCCTGCTTGCTTTCCCATTCTTCTGTTAGTACACTGGGCTTCAGAATTTCCACTGGACTAACCTGCATCTGTTATTGTTTAATTGATTCTAAATTTAGGCTAAAGGAGCTGTGGAGTTGCCTGCTGTGCTCATGGTCTTCCTTGATTTGCTTTATACAGATTTTGTAGTGGATGCTACTCGGAAAGGAAACAAAATTCGATTTGCAAACCATTCAGTGAATCCCAACTGTTATGCCAAAGGTGGGTTCCCAGTGACCTGGGAGGTGGAGCAGGAGATAAATGCTACATTTATAGGATTTCTATGCATTGTTCAATTTTTTTCATAACTCTGAGTTATTTTTGTCCAAAGGTAATCCTGATTAATATCTGGTATCATATCGTTTTAGGTCCCTCTTTCAGTTTTATATTTTGCTTTTTTTCACTGACTACATTACAAACACTCTCACAAACAGGATTTAAAGATAATTCTTTCTCCATATCACTGCCTAGAATAACAGATCTAAAAGCATAGAGGCAACTACCTTCCTTGACTGCTTTTAATTCCATTTGATTTATGTTTTCACTGGGAATTTGGAGGAAATCAGCCTAGCATTCGACTGATGGTTGACTTGAAGTTGACCTAGCCTTTGGTTTATTCTGTTTGCAGTGGTCATGGTAAATGGAGATCATCGGATTGGGATCTTTGCCAAGAGGGCAATTCAAGCTGGCGAAGAGCTCTTCTTTGATTACAGGTAAGGTAGGCAGTAATGGTCCATGGAAGGTGGCCTTAGAGCCAGAAGGGGTGGCTGTTGGAATAGATTTGAGGCTTTGGGTGGATGATATGGATGAAGGAATGGGCCTTGTGGTGGTTAAGGCTCTGTTTCTTCTGACCCCGGGGACCTTACCTCAAAAGTGGGAACGGTATAAATGGCTGTTAGTGGCTGGGAGGGGAAGTGAAACAGGAGAGTCTCCACCCTTTCAATCATAAGAGCCTTGAGAGTAACCTGGTTCCCCCTCTCTGCTCTGGGACAGGTACAGCCAAGCTGATGCCCTCAAGTATGTGGGGATCGAGAGGGAGACCGATGTCTTTTAGCCCTCCAGACCCACACCAGCGCTTACGGTAGCGGCACTGTCTTGGCTTTCATGCTTACAACACTGCTGCTCAAAAATCCTGCACTGTGTCTCCCACACCAAGAAACCCCCCACCCATGCCCTCTATAGTGAGGCCTCTGCTTTGTCAGTGGGCACAAGACTGTCTTAGTGAGAGGGGAGACAGGCAGCAAGGCCTTGGTCTCCCTGGGGAGAGAGTTGCAGAGGTGGGAGACTGCGTCTGCATCTCAGAGGAAGTGAGCACAGGCTGGGGTGGGTGACTTAGGTATGACTTTGTGTCAGCTCCCCAGGCTGTGGGCCTCAGGACTCCACTTAGGCAATTCCTAACAAGTGTTAGCCTGTAATTTTAGCTTTTCCAATCAAGGGTCCTTATGTAATCGGAGGGTGTCAGGCTTATCTCTATGATCCTAAAACCTAGAGGGGACAGGCTGAGTGAAATGTGGCCCCTGGACCCTATAGGTGATCTGAGTCAGAGGCAAGCCTGGTACGCTGCACAGATGAACTCAGAGGGAGATGGGTCACCTTACCATCTCTTCCCTCGGGGCAGGGTTCACACTGAAAGAGCATGGGTTCTAAGTGCAGATGTTCAAGGCCAGGGGGAGAAAAGCTACGTGGCATCCTTGCATGGCCAGAGAAAGAGAACCAGCCTGATGACAGTAAACTGCTAAACCTGGGCCCAGGAAGCCTTGAGAAAGCCTTCTCGGTGTGCTCTGAAGAGATGGGTTAAGTGTTGTCAGAGTCCTGGGAACAGGTGTCAGCACTCTTGCTCCTGCCAAAGCTCTGGGTAAGTGGCTGCAGGTGGACATTAGGCTGCCACTGATGAAGTGTCAGAAGGTGTATCTGGCAAAGTGTGAGCACCTGGGCAAGGTGCAAGCCTGGCAAGATGTGAGCCTGGCAAAGTGTGAACACCTGGGCAAAGTATGAGCCTGGCAAGGTGTGAGCACCTTGATTTGCTTGATTTGTAGTTTTTCCCAGGCCTTCCATTCTCCATAGAGGGTAGGCCTAAGGGCTTGTGTTGCTTATCTCTTTAAGGTAGGTAGGCACAGGCCTGGACTAGAGAGGGTAAAGGTCATTGGTGTGATCTACTTTCCTGTCTGTAGCACCTGCTGTTTGGAAAGGGTGATTTAGCAATATGTGTTTGGAGATGGGTGAGGGGCTAAATTGCACACATTTAGGATGGCATCACATGTGCAGGGCACACTGGTAGAGAGTACTTAAAGAAGCAGGCAGAACACCTGTCCCATCTGTGGTGCCATCTCTCTGGGATTCATGCAGAGCAAAGCACTTTACTATTTCTTTTAGAATAGAAGGTCTATATATTGGGGTGGAATTTGTGCTAAAGTCTCCCAAGGTCCCTGCTCCTGAGGGAAGGAGAAGAAGGGGTGGAAGATTCTCCTCCAGTCTTGCCTTATCTCCTGGAGGAGGCAGAAGGAGCTAGCTTGACATAGAAGAAATTAACAAGAATGGGGCCAACAAGAGCTGCTGCCCTGTGTCCGGGGCCCGTATGCTGAGCTGACAGGGAACAAGGAGCATTTTGCTGGATGGGAAGGACTCAGGCAGGTACAGACCAGCCTAGGGAGTATCATAATAGTGAACAGATGTCTCCCTTCTGGGGAGTCTGAGCCTCTCTTCCCCAGTCTCCTCTGGCCATTTCCTTCCTCCCATCCTGCTGAGTGTCTCATGAAGGAAGAAATAGGGTTCCCTGTGGCCCAGCTGTCTCTAAGGGATTTGCGTGGGACGTGCACACACACACTCACATATTCTCACTCGCCATACTGGTGGGCACACATGCACCCTGCACCCAGCACCTGCCCAGCCAACTCCTGACAGAAGCCTTCTCCCTCCCAATGGGGCCAGCACCCAGCTTGATTCTGAAATCTACATCTGCTGTGTTCATTGTGTGTATCAGGGAGACCCTCAAGCTGGACTGGGGGCTCTGAATTACTCATAAATTATAGGGGGAAACTGGAGACAGATGAAGCGAAGGATTAGTCCCATCTGAAGTGCCAGGGGCTGTCTGTGAGGAGTAGGTGAAAAGTTGTTTTTTTTTTTGTTCCATCCTTTGAGAGGCTGGACTGACTCCATGCTCCCCTCAGCGAGCAGAATCACTGTGGTCAAGCCCTCTTTTCCCATTTTCAGACCACTAATCCTTCTGTTCCTCCCATCCTTTGTCCCTGCTGTCCCCCACCTTTAATGACGGGTCTCAACCCCTCCCCCCACAGGTAATGATGGATGGAGCAAGGTGGTGGGGCTTGAGGGAGGCTGGTATTATGTGCGGCTTTATTGCCAGTGAATTTCACGCACTTTAAAGTCTTGTGGCTTGTGAACCTCTTATCTGAATAAAGTGTTAGAATCCATTTTGGCAGATTGTGTATTGTGTGCTTTGGGGCTGGAAGGACCCAAGATGGCCATCCAGGAGCAGGTTGGCCTGATGTTTCAGCATTCTGATCTGGGTATGGGGGAGGTGGGGGATCTGGCAAGAGCACCAATCAGGCCCCTGGCAGGTGATGCAAGGATTCTGAGAACTCCCCCTAGAAATTCCTAAGCCCTCAGATTAGTTCCTTTAAGGTCATCCCACTTATGCCCTAACCGCGACGCCAGCTACCACACACAGACTGGGGCTCTGCCACTCTGATTTATTGGAACAGCTCCAAGTCTGAGAGCACAACAGGCTCAGCCCTGCTTCAGAGTAGAGGCCAGACCAGGCTGGGTGAGTGACCAGCAGGACTCATGAGACTTCCACCACTGGAGAAGCAAACTACAGACTGGGCACAGGACAGGACAGCTGACTGAGTTTTTCTTTTATATATAAACAGATAATTTAAAAATTAGAATAATATATAGAGTTTCTCTAGGGAGAGACTGTGCAACAAAAAATATATATAAAGAATACGACCTCCTGGGCAAAAGCAGCAGCATCTCTGAGCGGAGGAAGGGGGCTCCTCATGCACTGGATGGGGCTAAGCCTTTGGGCAGGCACAAAGGCCATTGCATGGCTTGGGAAAGGGTGGAAGACTAGAGGGCTGGCTAGTTTGAGGGTTGCATTATTTTATATTGCAGGATTTTTATGGCTTTGGCTAAAGCATGTGAAGCAGCGGAGGTACTAAGGTGCTAATCTGAGGCCTTTTGGTCTCTGTGTAAAAAAACAAAAAGGGGGTGAGGGACAGCAATGAAGTTCTCCCGAGCCCCCAGCTGAGTGGACACATATGGAAGACATTCTGCAGGGTGGGGGGAGGCTGGGATAGGATTTAGCAGCCTCCTCCCCCCATACCCTGGACAACCCTGCAATCCCACACATCTGTCCCTGCTGATAGTATGTGTTGGAAGGGAGGCAGTTAATCTCCCCTACACTCTGTTGTTAATCCCTGGCAGCAGCTGGGACAGGGATGGCAGGGAGGGCCTGCCTCAGCCTCCTGAGGCTTCTCCTTTGGGGCAGGCAAACAGCCAGGAGCCTAGGGAAATGGGACTGAGCAGGGCATTGGTTTAGGCAGTGAGGCTCGGCCACTCCCTTGGGTCCCATCTGTAGCTCTGCCCACCAAACTTAGCGGGGTGGATGGGGGAGTATCCTCTGGATGAGCAGAGCCAGCTAAGAGAAGCCAAATGTCCCTGACAGGGTTGGGAAGAGACAGGACTTAGGGAATTCAGAGGAGGAGTTGAACTTGGTCCCTGAAGCCCTTCTGATTCATTCAGACCTGGACTCCTCCAAGATCTGGGGTAGATTCTGGTCCCGGGGGCCAGGGCCAGGGGCTGGGGCTGGGACTGGGACTGGAACTGGGGCTGAAACTTGGGTAGGAGCTGGTGTAGGAGTGGGGGCCTGGGCAGGGCCTGAAGCAGGTAGGGGGGCCTTGCTTCCAGGATGGTAATCATGGGTCGCCTTGGGCTCGTTGGTGTGGTAGGAGCCCTTGTAGCGATGATGTTGCAGGTAGAAAAGCACCAACATTCCCACTAGCCCAAGCAGCAGGAAGGCCACCAAAACTGAAAGGAAGAAAGGGAACAATTCAGAGCAGATCTTTGGGATTTCACCTACTCATAGAAACACACATACCTGTATTCTTTGGTCTAAAGCCTATGTGTACAACAGTCAGCTTCCAAAAACACAAACTATTCCTACATATCTATAAGTTTGAATTCCTAGCTTATCCCCTGACAACTTCTAATTATAATATTCTCTTTCTGCATTCCTGATAGTTAACCCACTTTTTCATCTCTCTAGATGTTACTATATCCTTATCTCCCCATCTCTCAACTATAGCCCTTTTTAATATCTCATTTCAATTAAAAATTTATAGCACCCTTAAATATTAAGAAATCTCCAACCCAATATACAGGGTGGACAAAAAGTTCGTGTGTGATTTAGCATTTTAAGTTGCACACGAACTTTATGTCCACTCTGCGTACTCCCTTCAGTATCACCTATCTTATCCTTTGTACCATCATGCATCCAACCACCCCTCAGCCATGGGGATCAGGGTAGGGAGAGACTGCTGCCAGTCAGAGGGTGGTCTTCAATGCTACTCACAGCCTAAGAGTATGGCCACCCATCCGTCATCATGGTAGTACGGAAAGTCTGAGGAGGAGAGAGCACCAGTCAGGAGGTCCCTCTACCAAATTAAGAATCATTTCCCTTCCCTGTCATACCCCCTTCCCTCTTCTGTGTCCTGGGGGTGTACCTGGGGGAAGATACCAGGGGTCAAGCTCAGGAGGCACCTCTGAGATGAGTCGTGGCATAGCGCCACAGTTAGATTCAGACAGTTCTCCCTGAATTCGAAGGGCCTCAGCCAGCTCAGCAGTCATGGGTCGAGGGGATCGGAAGTGGGTCTTCAGGGGGGCCACATTGTTGAATCGAACACCAGATAGACAGCCTGAGAAACCTGGGGTGTTGTAGCGCTGGATCTCTGGGTCAATGACTCCTGTCTCTGAGGGAGAGGTAGGCCCAGAAAGAGGGTCTTGGACCACTCAGAGGCCCTGCCCCTCCATCCATCTGTAGGTTTCCCACTCATCTTTCTCACCACCCTCACTGCCATTCCCACTTCCTTCACTCTCCAGTAGGCTCCAGGACCTTACCCAGCATTCTTTGCCCCTAACTCACCCACACTCAGAGCTTACCCATCACGCGCCCCAGATACAAGGCCTTGGGAGAGTCCAACTGGCTGTCCACCAACAGGGAGAACTTCTGTTCTGTCAGTGGGAAGTAGTCCACCTGGGGGGGGCAGTAAGGGGAGGTGACTGAGACCACAAAAGAATTCTAACTCTGTCCAAACTGGTGGTGCCAACCAGGTAAGTCCCATTCATTCCAAACTGGGCAACTGCAACTCCTGAGCCCAGTATGGTATTTGATGTTTTTTAAAAAACCCCAAAACTTGGCTTGGTACCCGTGGCTCAAGCGGCTAAGGCACCAGCCACAGACACCTGAGCTGGTAGGTTCGAATCCAGCCCAGGCCTGCCAGACAACAATGATGGCTGCAACCAAAAAATAGCTGGGCGTTGTGGCAGACACCTATAGTTCCAGCTACTTGGGAGGCAGAGGCAGGAGAATCACTTGAGCCCAGTTGTTGGAGGTTGCTGTGAGCTGTAATGCTACGGCACTCTACCCAGGGGGACAGCTTGAGGCTCTGTCTCAAAAAAAAAAAAAAAAAACAA